AAAAAAAAAAAAAAAAAAAAAAAAAAAAAAAAATACTTGTTTTGCATGTATTGTGGGTAAGATTAGCTAGGGGTAAAGCAGGCACCCAAATAACTACACTTCAAATGCTATAGCATAAATTATCTGTCTACCATCTATTCTGCATCCTGTATACCCAGGCTGATTTTAATAGGTTCTATAGGAGAGAACAAACAATCTTTGTGAGGTTCAGGGGAGAGAGAGTTTCCACAAGTTGGCAAAACTGGGGAAACACAGGGAATGACTGCCAATTATATTTGGGCAATGAAGATGAGAAGGGAGAACCTTCTGAGTAGAATAGCATGGCTAAAGATAAGAATAGGGAAAGCAGGTTTGTTGGTGGGATGTTAGTAGTCCTTTTTGTCTACATTATTGGTAGATGAGTGTTGGAGGCTAGAAAGGCAGATTGTAATTAAAATCACCATCTTCAGGGCCGAGCCTGTGGCGCACTCGGGAGAGTGCGGCGCTGGGAGCACAGCAGCGCTCCCGCTGCGGGTTTGGATCCTATATAGGGATGGCCGGTGCACTCAGTGGCTGAGCGGCCAGTCTCAAAAAGGACAAAAAAAAAAAAAATCACCATCTTCAAATGTTAGCGTATTGAGACATACCTCTTCCTGCAATAAAGTCAGGAAGTAGTGGAGACATGGGAACTTGCTAGGGAGTTTGTAACTGGTAAATCACTTCAAAGAGCAATCTGGCAGTTTCTAAATGGGATATGCCTATACTCTGAGAACAAGCGCTTCCACTCTTATGCATATTCTTGAAGGAAACACTGTGCACAAGGAGATATGACAACAAGATTCGTTGTAGCAAAATTTAGAGACAGCCTAAATGTCTACAAGTAAGGGAATGGGAAACTAAGTTGTATATGATAGTGAATGACTATATGTAGCTTTTGAAAGGAGTGTGTTGAATTGAATCTGGGTCTGTTTTTGGAGGCATGGAAAATTCCTGGTAAATAAAGTATAAGACCGTTTAAAAAACATAAAATAATACTATCATCTATGGTCACATTAGCATAAAAAAGTTTAAAGGTGTAAGTGGGAAGGCTCTACATCAACTTGAGAATCCTCTGGGAGGAAGTGAAAGGGATGGGGGCAAGATATAAAGGAGGCATCAATTGCATTTTTTACATTTTAGATCTTTAAAAAGATCTAAAGCACTAATGGCTAGATGTTAAATTCATTCACTCTGGGTGTGGGTATTTGGATGTTTGTGATGTATATTTTATTATTCCTAGCAAGTTTAAATATGCTTGACTTATTGAGACAAAAAGGAAAGGAAGACATCTGAGAAAAGGCCATTGGATTGGTAGTTTCCGATTTTGATAACAATAGCTAACATTTATTGATTGCTTTTTGTGTCCCAGACATTCTTTTAAGTGCTTTACATGTATTATTAGTTCATTTATTTCTCATTATATCCCATGAAGTAAGTAAAATTATCATCCTTATTTTGTAGATGAGGAAATTGAAACACAGGGTATAGTAGGTACCATCATTAGATGGTGTTGGAGTGAAGGCAGTGAAGTTTGGGGCTAGGAAGGGTGAAAGAGTTCTGCTGTTCTAGGAAGTGACAACAATTAACTAATTTTTAAAAATTTTTTTTACATTTTATATCTTAAAAGAGATGTAAAGCAGAAATGGCTATATGTTAATATTTGTTATTTCTGGGTATGTTTATTATTTCCAGAAATTTAAATATGTTTGAGTGGGC